CCCCGGCTCCCTCTGTATCTTTATACCTAACATTAACACAACAGGACAGATTTAAGAACTGGTGCCTTGGACTGAGGAATTTCTAGTTAGATGGGAGCGGAGCAGCTTATTGAGTGGAAAGAGGTCGTGACACATGGGGATCATCTGCTCTCCTTGGTATGTGGACGTCCTGCCGGCACGCGCGCCTGCTTCTGCCGTCCTACGATCCGTCAAGGGAGCCTTCTGTTCTCTGCAAGGACAGAAGACAGAGGCAGCGGTGGTCACAGCCCCAGGACTGAAGACGCCCCAGAAGACAGATACGCAGAAGGCCGGGCGGCACTTCGCAGGAGCTGCAAAGCCCTGCGGGCACCACTGCCCCAGCACCCGCCCACTCCCGCCTCCCTTCTTTCCACTGCCTGCCACCCGCTGCCCGCGCACACACACAATGAACATCCGTCCAGGAAGCGCTGCGTCAGGGCACATGTGCACCAGCCTGCTGGCCTGTGGGTGCTCAGGTACCCGTGCGAAGAGAATGTACCTGTGAATTTTAAGAGACCTGGCTTCGAGCTGCAGCTCCGCCTCTAAGTATCAAGAGTTGCGCTCTCTAGGTCTGCTGGTTTGTTTGTAGCTCAGGCTGGCCTTGAACTCCTGGTGCTCTTCTTACCTCGGCCTCCTCTGTGCTGGGATTGCGGGCGATGCCACCATGCCCAGCAAGATCTAATTCTTACTTATTTTTTGCTTTTCAATTTAAAAAAATGGGGGCCGGAGAGATAGCTCAGTAGAATAAGTGCTTGCCAGGCAAGCACAAGGGCCTGAGTTCAATCCCTGGTTCCGCAAAATAAATAAAATTAAATAAAATTTAAAATGAACTTAAATGATCCAACTTAAATGTTTTAAAATGATACAATGCTTTTTTTTTTCTGGAACCAGGGATTGAACTCAGGCCCTTGCGCTTGCCAGGAAGTGCTTATTCCACTGAGCCACCTCCCTGGCCCCGGTATGATGCATTCTTAAAAGGAATGAAATTCTGATATTTTAAAATAGATGAATCTGGGGAGAATCATGATAAAAGAAGTAAGCCAGGGGGCTGGTGAGATGGCTCGGTGGTCTAGAGCACCTGCTTGGAACAGGCTTGGCAAAGCACAGGGACCGCGGTTCAATCCCCCAGCACCACATGCCAGCCAGCCCCGCCCCCTGGTGGGCTGAGCTGGCCACACACACACACACACACACACACACACACACACACAAATAAATAAATAAATGTTTAAGAAAAAATAAAAAAAAAAAAAAAAAGTAAGCCAGAGATAAAAGCACAGACAGCATGATTCCACCGGCTTGACTGGCAAGAATGGCCAGACTCACAAAGACAGAGGTGAGAGGCTGCGGGTGGGGGACAGGGATGGGCAGCGGCTCCTGACTTAAATGCATAGTGTTTCAGGCTGAGGTCATGAAAGTATGAGGGACATGACCATTTAGGAGGTGGTTAGTGATGACAGCTGCACAGCACCTAATGTCACTTTTTTTGAGACAGGGTCTCTCTATGCAGTTCCGGTTGGCTTTGAGCTCACTTTGTAGCCCAGGCTGGTCTCAAACTGGCAATGATCCTCCTACCTCAGCCTCGCGAGTGTTGGGATTATAGGCGCACGCCACCCGCCCGGCCCGCTTACTCCGTGTGGGACTGTTTAGCTGCTTCACACGATGCTCGGGTCAGCTACCCCCTACCAGAGCCTGCGTCCTTATCTGGCCTGCACCGTTCTCCATGCTAAGCATGCAAGAAGCTGTGCCCAAGAATTTTATACACGAGCGGTTATCAACAGTGCGGCTGTGAGAGAGAAGACTGCGGAGCCCTCAGCAAGTGCAGATGAGATCAGAGCAAGGAGAGGAGCGGGGCCGGGCAGGGAGCGGGCCACAGGACAGTGACCAACAGCGACAGTGCAAACAGCAGAGGGCCTGTGGGCACAAGACAGGCAAGGGCAGCCCAGAGGCCGGGGAACCCGGGGCCGGGCCGGTGGCTTCCTAAGGTGAACCGAGATCGGGTCTCCATTTTGTTCTGGCCCTGCTGGGCCAGTCTTTTGGAACAGGATGCAGGGCTGAGAGCTGCGGCTAGAAGGTCAAGGCTCCGGCTCCCCATCTGCCAGGAGAAACCCAGAGAGCAGGCCAAAGAGCTGTGCTGGCCCGCAGGCCTGGAGGCCCGCCAGCGCTGCAGCTCCCCTCGGGCTGGAGGCCGCGGCGCGCAGCCGCTCCGCATGGCCCAGGACTGACACCTTGCTCTCCTGTTCTGGGCACAACTAGTGCCACACACAGGAAGGGCGTGGCCCGGGGCTCTGAAGTAAAGGTTACCCTGTTCACATCTGACGATGGAGCTTGCTGTGCCTGTCGGGCCAGCGGTCGGCCATCCTAGAGCAGCCGTGGATTGCCCACTTCTGGTCAGAACAGGGTTCAGATCCCCTGAAAGCCACTGCCTCCAACAGCCCCTGGATCCCTAATTCCTACTTGTGGAAAACACTGTGTACGGTCCTTCTGGTGTGCCAGGACTCCGCTAGGCACTCATGCCGTCGCCCGCTCAGAGGACACAGAGGTCCCGAGAGGTAAGCAGCCTGCCCACGGGGCCCGGCTCGCTCACAGCCCCTTCAGCACAAGCGCAGCCTTGAGGTGGCTCTCTGAGTCCCAGGCCGAAGCGTGGCTTGGCGGAATCCCGCTCTTGGGGGAAGCAATAGCCGCGCTCCACACGTGGCAGGGCAGTAACTTCGCCACCACGCCGACATTTGCCAAAGCGTTTGGTGCAAAGAAACACAACAGCTAACAGCCAGCTTTTCCGTAGTTTCTCATCTAACCCTCAACAAAGCCCTAGGAAGCAGCCACTGTCCTCCCCTTCCTCCGCACTTTGTAGATGCAGCTCAGGCCGGGGGAAGACAGGGTCACCCCCGAAGGCCGCAGTCACCGCAGGGCCCAGCGGATGGGTCCTTAGGGAAGCCCAGCTGCCCGAGGCCCAGGACAGAGGTGGCTGAGGGGTTGCAGCTGCTCTTCGCCATTAGAAAGCCAGGTTCTTGCCGAGGTGAAGAGCCTCGCAGGTCTAGATTCCCCCTTCTGGTGCAAGTACAGGGTGTCCTCTCTCGTGTTATCTGTCTGCGGGTCCACAACTCCACGCATAAACAAGGCAAAACGGCAGAGGAAAAGCGAAGTCAGAATGCACCACTGAAGCCAGTCAAACGATACCAAATTAGCAGTTGGCTAAGGGGCTGTCTCATTGTTCAGATATTTCCTCCACCATGTTTTCAGAAGTAACGGCTATGAAACAAGAGGGAATGATTGCCAGGTTTGATTTCAGGAAGGAAATCCCCTCCCATTTCCCTGCTGGGCAATTCAATTAATTTTCTCGATCTACTCCAGCTGATTATTAGGGAAACTATACGTGCTTCTTTTATAAACAAAACCCATTAACTTAAAAACCCAAAATTCCTTTCCCAGTGGCCGAGTGCGCCTCTGCTCCCGCCAAACGGCCCGCGCATGGGCAGGACCAGCCCGAGTGCGCTCTCGGTCGACCCCGGTGGTCCAGCCTCCGCGGAGAGGCAGAGCTCAGTCTGGCCCAGCGCACGCAGCCTCTGCCCAGAAAGACCTTGGAATAAAGGCAAAGTAAATAAGTTGGTCCTGTGGGCCGTTTGGGGTTGGGCAGCGGGAAAGCACATTTTTATCAGCCTCCCACACTGCTGTAGGGCGAAGTTCTCACTCTGGTCTCTCAAAGCAGTGACTGCTGGGACAGCAACACCACTGCCTGGAGGGAGACCTGTGGTGTGGACGGGCCCTGGCCAGGCCTCCAGGGTCCTGGGCTCCTTCCCTGGCTCTGGGTGACTGAGGCAGCTGTTCCACCCGTCTAAGCCTCAGTTTCTTCATCTATAAATTGGGCTCCGCATCTTTCTGCTGAGAACGTCTCTGATTTCAGGAGGCTGGGTGGGAGCTGACTAAAGAAAGATGTTCCTTTCATTCTTCTTTTCTTTAAAGTGATCGCTTTCCTCTATGGAAAAGAACCCAGCAGCTTCCTGCCTGTCAAATGCATAACAAGCTCCTTTCTACCAGAATTCACACTTGGGCAAAAACAAAGGAAGCCAGGGGCCCCAGCCAGTTGCAGAATTAAGAGATTCTTCCCCCAACCACAGAGAAACAGATTCTCCACTTCTTAAGACCTGCAGCTGCCCTGTTAACTCCTGCACTGCTGGGCAGCGCCAGGAAGGCTGAGTGGGAAGGTTAGCTTTAGATAGCCCTGTGCAGTTCCAACTTAGGCTTGTGTCTTTTTTGTTGTTTTTTGAGAAAGGGTTTCACTTTGTAATTCCCTATGTGGTCCAGGCTGGCCTTGAACTCTCGGGGGATCTTCCTGCCTCAGCCTCCCAATGCTGGGACTGCAGGTGTGCACCACTATGCCCAGCCTGGGCCTGTCTTTCTTACTAAAAGAGTGCTGAGTGTCCTGGAATCCTACTCCGCTGAGGGGCGGGATTCCAAGGTCCCCTTCCTGTGTGGGCTGAGATGGAATGATAGAAACAGGGTGGGGAGATCATTCAAAGCCAGAGCTGGTGGAGGTTAGTCGGAGGATCCTGCTTTCAAACAGAGGAGGCCAATGAGGGGACAGGAGGAAAATCAGCGGCAGGCAGGCCCTGGAAGGGTGGGAAAGGTCTCACTATTCCAGGAGCAGTGTACGTACAGAATATCTGTGTTCCCCAGAACCTGCAAGACAAAGAACAGCACCGCGGTGAGCAACGCACGCACCTACCCACGGGGTCGCGGGGGCTCCGGGGCAGGGGCAGGAAAGAGGCAGGGGACAATGACACAGACAGGAATGGCAGGCTGTGTGCCAGCACAGTGCTCAGGCTCCCAGGGGCACTCCAGTTGCATGTGACAGGCATCTAAGCCCTTGGCACAGGGTCCCCTCCCCCAGCACTGGGGACTGAACTTAGCACTTCGCGCTTGCCAGGCAAGCGCTCATTTTACTGAGCTATCTCCCCAGCCCTGATTTTGTCTTTTTGAGACGGGTTTGCTACGCAGCCCAGCCTGGCCTTGAGCTCACTTTGTACCCCAGGCTGATCTCGAACCCCCAGCAATCCTGCCTCAGCCTCCCAGTGCTGGGATTACAGGCGTGCACCACCATGCCCGGCTCCCTCCCACATACTTTAACATTTTAAACAGTTATTAATAGCAAGTGTTAAGAAAAACAATTAAAAATTGCAGGAAAGTAGAAAATAAAACTTCTAGCCCATCATCCATAAGTGTCAATCTATTGACACTTTCCCTCGTCATTTTCTGAGTCGATTTTTTATTGAGGAAGCCGTTATATGGTAGATGATATTTTGTGGGGGTGTATTTTATATCCTTTCTTTTTCTTTTTTCCTAGAAACCAGGTCTCACTATGCAGTTCAGGTTGACCTTGAACTCACTTTATAGCCCAGTCTGGTCTCTAACTTGAAATGATTCTCTTGCCTCAGCTTCAGCCTTTTTTTTTTTTTTTTTTTTTTTTTTTTGTGGAACCGGGGATTGAACTCACACCAGGGAAGTGCTTATTCCACTGAGCCATCTCCCATGCCTCAGCTTCATAAGTGCTGGGATTACAGGTATGTGCCACCACATTCTGCTAAAAGTTAGAATCTTCTTTTTGGCCAGCTCAGCCCACCCTGAGGGCAGGGCTGACGCAGCGCGTGGTGCTGGGATCGAACCGTGGTCCCCTGCACCTGCCTAAGCAGGCTCTTTAGATTGCTGAGCTATCTTGATGGCCCTAAAAGTTAGATTCTTAAACTGGGCATGATCGCACATTGTAATCTCAAAGTTGGGGGCTAAAGCAGAAGGATTGCAAATTCAAGCTCAGCCTATCTCAAAAATGTAAAAAAGGGGGAAAGCGCTGGAGAAAAAAAGCTTTTTCTAGGATTTTTGCTATTTTAAATAATGCTAACATCCTCTTTAGGAACAAAGCTATTTCTGTATTTCCTACTATCTTGTCTGCCCATTCACAGGCATGGGATGAACTGAGCAAGAGCTACTACGAGCAGGCCCGAGGCTCTTGGCCTAAGAGGCCAAACCTCCCCTGCCCAGCACTGTACTGCCCTTGGGCGGTGGAGGTGACCCTGTGGCACGGGTGCCGTGGTGGACTGTTATCACTGAAAGCTCTGAACGGCTGGCCATCTCTGTTCCACGGCACCTCCTTCCAACTGTCTTCTGACCAGGGCGCCCCGCCCAACACCTCTGCAAATGGCCAGGAGAGGAGAGCTCAGGTAAGCAAAGCCCACGGGACAGGAAATGGCAGGGGGCGAGGGGTCACTGCCGGCTTGGTCAGAGGTGAGACAGTGGGACGGCTGGCCCCACGGGCAGGACCAGGCCCTGAGCCTACAGCGCCTGATTCTCCCAGCAGCCACAATGGATGTGGCCACGGAGATGCAGCAGCCACGGAGAGTCACTGCTGCCTGGGGAGGCCCCAGCGCAGGCGTGGCGGCCACAGCCACTCCTGACGTGCTCAGCTGCCCTGGAGAGCAGCAGTCCACGCAGCCTAGCCTACACCCAGTTCTGTCTGGACCTGGGGCCCTCCCAGGGCCATCACTCACAGCGGGAGTCGGCGTTTCCAGCTCTCTAGTTCTAAGCTGTCCTGCGTCCACAGTCACTTCCTTCTAAGCCCCGTCTGATCATAGCCTGTGTGCTCCCAAGGGAGCAGGACCAGGCGACCCAGGACCCTGGCCATAGCCGCACAGCATGGGCCAGCTAATGACCCGCCCAGCCCTAGGGTGGTGGCGGAGGCCTCCACACTGTGAGGCTGGGGGAGCCGAAGGGCCTGGGACGGGGCTCGCCCCCTGCCCGTGCGCTCTGGAGCCCGGCCCAAGGGGGAGCAGCCTCAAGGCTGTGTGGCCTAGACCAATTTGAGCACAAAATGCTAAAATTTCAGTATACTGGTAGATACCACAGATGGAAATCCAGGTCTCTGCTTGGTTGTAGTCTTTCTCTCTGCCTGGTGCAGGAGCCCGCAGCCTCATGTTGGCCACCCAGGCACGATGGTACACGCCTTTAATTCTAGCTACCTGGGAGGACGAGACAGGAGCATCGCAAAGTGCAGGCCAACCCGGGCAACTTGGGGAGAGCGGCGGCGGGCTGAGGGCTCAGCCCACTGGGGCCCACAGGAAGGGTGGGGCTGCGTCTCCAGGCTGCTCTGTCAGATGGGACTTGGCCTCGAGGCCTTCTTTTCTTGATCATCGCTTCCTGTTGTGACTGTTCTCAGCGCAGCCACTTGGTAGACAGGGTGGAAGGGAAGGCAGTAGGGACCCGGGCTTCTGCCCTGGGAGCTCTGAATTCCAAGCAGGAGCGGAAGGCTGAGTGAGCTGAATCTCAGAGGGCAGAGGCCCCGCCTGACTCAGTGGGTGGGACATGGGGACTCGCATCAGGGTGAGGAGTGTGGGCAGGAAGTACCCCGAACGCCTGCCAAGGTGGGGACAAGGAACAAATCAGCTGGCATCTGGAGGAGAAATCTCCTATGGGACAGTCCCAGAAGCTGAGGACCCTGAGCCAGCGTCTTACCATTTTGGCCCTAAGGACCTTGGGGCTGGACATGAGTTAGTGAGGCGGGGCTGCCCTCCGTGCTATGAGATTCCTCAGCGGAATCCGTTCCTTCCACTCACCAGATGCCATTGCTTTGCCCTCCCCAGCCAAGAGGTGACAGACACAAGTGTTTCCAGGGTTGCGGGGAAACTCTGTGCTAGTGTGCCTGCCTGGCAGCGCAAGGCCTGGGATTTGTCCCCAGTGTCACTAAATAAGTAAATGTACGATCGATCTGGAGGCAATGCCTGCCTTGGCCGGCCCCCGAAGGGAGCTAGCTCTCCCTGAAGGGCAGCCCTCTGCTCAGGCCTGCCCAGCTGCAGCGGGGGGCTCTCTCCCTTGGGTGTCTTTCTCATGCCCGGCGCCTAGCTCTTTTTTTTTTTTTTTAAATGGAGAATAATTCTGAAATCTTTATTGAATCACTGTCATGCCCTCCTTATGATACTTAATGACTGTCAGTCAGAAAATAGCAACAGCTCGCTATAATCTAATATGCCATCTTTAAGCAGGAATCAAGAGTCACACATTCTTTTTTATTTTCCGGCGCCTAGTTCTGAGCACTGCCCCGTCCTCCCTCCTGAACAGGCAGGGCCCTGCTGCCGCAGCTGCAGCCATAAGGTGGAAGAGCTGGAAGGGGAAAGGCTGCAGTGTCCTTTCCCGAGGCTTAGAGGGAACTGCAGGGGGGAAGATGTCAGCCTAGCTGTGCATCCACGCACGGAGGGTTAGAGAATGCTGGCATGATCAGAGAGGACACAGGCCTGAATCAGGAGACTCCTGGCTCGTTTTACCAGTGTCACCTGCCTACCACCGCCCTTCCCTGCCTGAGGGCCGCTGGATGTCCCCTCTGCCCCAAGTCCAGCTGAGCAAGACGCATCAGATCAGGACCTGCTGAGAAAACCAGTGTCGGAGAACAAGGGGAGTGCCGGGAGCCAGGTCACGTGACCCAGCAGGGGCAGAGCTGCGGCCAGAGCTCGGGCAGCAGGGCCCTTCGGGAGTGCTCCATGAGGGTAACAGTGCAGAGAGCCATCCAGGCTGGGTTCCGGCTCACAGGAATGCACCAGAAACAGTAAGCTGGCCCTGGGTCCTGACTGAACCGCGATCTCAGGGAAAACGTGAGCATGTACGTAGTATCTATGGTGATTCTAGGAAGAAGCTGGGGTAGGTTACGAATTAGAATTAGCTCCAAGGGTACCCAGGAGGTAACTTTTTTTTGGTCTTTTTGAGAGGAGGTCTCATTATGCAGTTCAGGCTGGCTTTGAGCTCAATTTGTAGACCAGGCTGGCCTCAAACTCACGGAGATCCTCCTGCCTCAGCCTCCTGAATGCTGGGATGACAGGTGTGCGCCACCACACCTGACCCCAGAGTGACCCTTAAGAAGTGACTGATTTCAGCCCGGTATGGTGGTGCATGTCTGTGATGCTAGCTATCTGGGAGGATGAGGCAGGTGGATTGCAAACTGAAGCTAACCTGGGCAACTGGGCAAGACCCTGTCTCAAAATTTGAAAAGGCTACAGAGGCAGCTCAGTGCTTCCTGGGTTCAATTTCCAGTACTGGGAAAAAATAAAAAGTGACTCACACAAACAGGTCTGGAGCGACCGAGGTGAAGTCCTAAGATGCCACCGTCAGGCGCCAGCACTTTGAGCCTCTGACTGCTGTGACTGGAAGGGAACTTAAGGTCACTGGCTGGACAGATAGAAAGCTGAGCCTGGCCAGATTCACAAGGACAGCAGGTAGAATGGTGGCTGCTGGACCTGGGAAGGAGCTGTTGTTCATGGGTGTGGAGGTCCTGGCTGGAGGGGGTGGGGACAGCTGCCAGCCCTAAGGACAGACTCGCACCCTAAGCTGTGCCCTTCTCACTGGCTGCAGTGGAGCTATGCATATTTTACAACTGAAAACAAACAAACAAAAAAAGCAAAAGCCAAAGAGCTAACCGTGGGGCCCACAGCCAAAGCCGCAAAGACTGGGCACCTCTCCCAGTCCGTGAGCTCACCCGGCTTTCAAGCCTTTTTGGCCGTGCCCAGAAGTCTCTCCAGGGCCCTGCCCTGGGCTGCTCCTCGGACAAATGCCTGCCCTGGCCCTTTTGCTTATCAAGGGGCGGGCTTTCCTCTGAATCACTCCAGGGTAGGGGGCTCAACAGCCAAAACTGCCCACTAGGCCACTTCCCAAAATAGCCGGCAGTGTAGTGCGGCTGGGTGCAAGGTGAAGGGGAGGCAGAGTAGGACACAGGAGCTAGGGCCCTGCTCTACACTCAGGCAGCCGACGAGTCTGCAAGCCCCTGCCTCCATGGGGCTCTCGTTTTATTGGGGGTGACCCCCACCACACACACTGCTTCTGGATCTCCCTATCTACCAATCCTGAGCAATCACTCCAGGATTTCCAGGGACTCAGAAAGGCCCTGGTCCTCCTAGCAAGGAGCGGAACCTGTGCGGCACGGTCAGGAGAGGGCACGGAGCAGCTGCAGAGTGGTTCTCAGAGTGCGTGCGTTCCCCAGGCTGCCAGCAGCACCAGCAGCACCTGGGCGCTTCCTAGAGGTGCCAATTATCTGACCTGTGAAGCCAGAACGTTTTTCAGGCATGGGCACCGTATAGGTTATGTTTCAACAATTCGAGAATCACTGATCTGTATCTAGCCCACCCCTCGGAGCTCACAGAGAAGGTGTCTGGGGCCTCAGCGTATCCATGTCTCGCCTGATGCTATAACTCTGAACTTCTGAAGTAGATAGAGCTGGACTCTAGGCAAGTTAAGGACTGCAGAGAAGCTAAGCCATGAAAGAGGGGCAGCGCAGAGGTGTGGGGCCTCTTTGCTTGGGCAGCAGAGGGGACCTGGGCAGGCGTGAAGCCACCACCCTGGACCAACCTCCCTAGCTGAAGTCCCTGCTGTCGCTAGCTGTACGGTGAGGACACAGTATTGAACCTCCGGGCCCTTTCCTCATGGACAGGACAATCAAGTCCCCACCACCCACAGGTGACCCTGAGGGCTAAGTAAGGGCTCTAAGGTCACACACAGGGAGTGCTGAGCAAGCTGCAGCTACCACACCGCCAACAGAGGAAGGAACTAAACCGAGAGAGACTTAGATAACAGAGAGGAAAATTAACAGCCAACAAAAGTGATACTCAGCCCATACAAATGGAGGGGTACTCAGTGCAAGAGCTACTGGAGAATTTAGGGTGATGACAAACGTGGGGGTGCTCCTGAGGAGGTCTGAGAAAGGATGCCTAGAAGGCTGCAGCGGGGCTCAAGTAAGGGATGCTAAACATGGGTGGGAAGAGCCCCGGGGAGGTGGGTGATCCAGGGCCAAAGGCCTTGGCTCCTTCGAGAACCATCTCGCTTCTCCCAGGCAGAGAGGGACCTGGCTTGCAGCGAGGCGTAAGGAAAGGGGACTGGTTATACAAATCAGGCAGCTGCAGGTCCCAAAGATGGGGCTTTCTCCACCCTCAGCCCTGGGCAGGCTACAGAGCTGCTGGGTTCTCTACGGAGCCGGAGACGGGGCTGCAAAGGAACTGGAGCCCTAAGTGTCTTCTGCGGCCTGGGCTGGGCGGGGAGGGCAGCCTCGTTTGGGATCTGAAGACCATTCTAGTCTAGTCCTGAGCAAGGCCCTGTCTGCTAGGGTCCACATTCCTCCTGTGTTTTTCAGCTAAAACTGAATGCTCATCATCTGTGCGGGTTAGTATACTAGCTGCTTGGGATAAGTAGTAACATCTCCTGTGATTTTTTTTTTTCCAGAGAGGGTCTCACTATGTAGTTCAGGCTGGCCTGGGACACAGACTGGCTTCAAAAGCCGTGATCTGCTCAGCTTCCCAGGTGCTGAGATCTGATCTCAATTTCTCCTCCAATCCCATCTCCATGAAATAGCTGTAGACACTGAGTTCCCAAGGTCAAAGTCACACTGCTGGTGGCAGCACAGGACAGGCTCAGAACTTCCAGCAAAGCGACGGCTCTTTGCCGAGGTTGTAAGGGGGTGGCTGCCAGCTGCCGAGATCTTTGTAACCTCCTACTCTACCAGCTCCCGTCCCAAACCCAAGGAGGCCATAAAGCCCTGTGGCCAGGTGTGTGGAGTCGGTTCTTGGGAGGGCCGGTTCCTGGGGGTTCGACTGCTGTGTGGCCTTGGGAAGTGTCTTAATCTTTTCTGCCTGATACCCTTGCCTTTACCTTTCTGTCCACTGACAGACAGCCCTCTCATTCCAGAGCTACACTTTGGGCCCTGCTTGTTTTGCTGCCTGCTGCCCGCCACAGACTGTTCCTGCTCTGTGATGCCCCTCTGCCCTGCCACCCTGCCCTGGAGCCAGCCAACTATGGCCTGAACCTCTACTAACCAGGAGCTACATAAACCTTTCCTGCCTTAAGAAAGTATATTTTGCTAGTTCTGAGTATACTGGGAATGCAAAACAAGTACTTGAACTAAAATTTCTTCATGACCCAAAACATACTTTCTTCATTGACCTCACCGTGTGAGGTCAATGAGTTCTGGTTCCAGATTCCACGCATCTGGGCTGGGCTGGGCTGGAGGCTGCTGCAGCTGCTGGCTCACAGCCAGCGCTCAGAGCAGCCGCTTTTGCACACGTCCCCCCGCCGAGCTAGTAACGCCGAGCTCCTCACATCACAAGCCCACTGCACAGAGCGCGAGCTTCTCAGAACTACTACTTCCTTGGCGTGCTTATGCTTTTTGGGCTGTTGACTTATTTTCAGAATTTAAAAGTAGCCTAGGTTACTTTCATTTCACTAGGCTCAAATATGAAACATATACAAAAAATGTAAGCGGGGTTTCCCAGGTTGTGGGCACCCTTCAGCGAGGAGCAGTGGATGACAGGAGCCGAAGAGAGGCTGCAGAAACCAGAGGAAGCAGGAGATTTGTCAACCCCTTGCCAGCCCAAAGCCCAGCGCACTTACGAGGCTCGGCCTTCCGGATCTCACTGTACACCGTGTCTGTGCCCCTCGTGCCTAGAACTGGAAAGGGACCGGGCACAAGTTAGCAGCTGTCTCTGGGCTCCGGCCTGCACGTGGCTGTGTCTACCACCCACCCATAGTGCTCATGTCCAGAAGCACCAAGGCCTTGTCACCCCAGGCTCCCAAGATCCCCAACCAACCAGCGTCACTAAGACTGGGGACAGATCAGCGGGCTGCGGTGAGACAGCGCTGCCTGCAGAGTGCAACCCTGACCGGAGGCCTAAGTCCCTGTGCTCAACACAGGCCTGAAGCTCCCCCACCAAGAGCCCGCGCCCACTTTCTCTGACACAGGGACCTGTGCCAGCTGCTTTCTGGGTTAAGGCCTCTCAGTGTCCCAGTCGAGACCCCAAAATCTAGACCTGGACCCCCAGACCTGGTTTGGGGCCTGGCAGCACAGTGCTGCTCCTTGGCTGGGAGTGGGGTGAGAACGGGCGCCGTGCTAGTCGAGACTAGGGCGCGCTGCCCATCACGGGGCTTGAACCTCCACAGCCTTGTCCCCACCCATGGGGGCAAGGGCCCAACTCCAGAGGCTCACGCTGCCCTCCCTGCTGTCACCTAGCTCCAAGGAGAGGCACTGGTGGCAAGCGGATGGCCCTCGTGCCTCCGTGGGCTGTTACATGAAAGCCCTAGACAGTGTGCCTCAGGGTGTCAGAGGCTCTCCTCCAAGGCCTGCTTCTTTTCCTTCTTCCGCTGACTTAAGCCCACAGCCTCCCAGGCATCTGCACAGCAGCCCACGTGGGAGAACGGGGCGGGGGGTAGTGCCAGAGCCCGGGACAGTGGGACGCTCCTGTGTGCCCAGACAGGAGCCCCGCAGGGACGGTCTCCCTTGTCCTCAGCTTTACCACTGCTGCAGCACCCAGCAGAAGGGAGGGTCAGAATGAGGACCGCGGGCTTCCCGCCGACACGGGGTCTGTGCGCCATCCTGTTGTTCTGTCCCTTCTGACCTGGCATTGCATTATCATCGGGTGCTGTGATCTGCCGCTGCCACAGGTCTAGACCCACCCAGGAGTGCACCTCAGCCTTACCCTAGCCTCCCGCCCGGTGCTCACATTTCAGTTCTCCGCTTCCATTCTTGACCCCTTCGGTGCATTTCTATGCTGGCCTTGAGGGTGAGTTTTGAGGAAGGAAATCCGAACCTGCCACATCCTTGCCTATCGCCATCTGAACTCCGCCTAATCCATTTAAAATAGGATGCAAAGAGCACCTTAGAGACCCTGTGTGCTCCGGCCTCAGCACGCCCCCGCTGAATCTACCCCCTTCCTGTCTCTGCATGCACAGGCCTACCTCCCAGGAGTAACTTTAGATCGAACACAAGGCCTCTGCACCGAGCTACATCCCAGCCATCTTTAAATTCAGAGATAGGCTTCCCAGGCTGGGCTTGAACTTGTGATCCTCCTGCCTCAGCCTCCCAGAACGCGAGGATTACAGAAGTGTGCCAGTGCTCTAGGCCATCCTTTCAGATGGCCTCGCACTGCCCTTCCCATTTCCCAGCCCTCCCTCTTGGTGGGGCCCCAGTTTAAATGCCAGCTCTCTCCCTGAAATACCCAGAAAGGCCAGAGAAGGTCCCCTTTCATGTTTTCTCACGCACCCCATTCTGCTCCTTCACGGCACGAGCGCCCCCCGGGATCTCCTGTAGGCTCTGCTCCCCAGGCAGGGGTCGTCTGTGCCTGTTTCTGGCATGGCAGCTGGTCCTTGTATGTTATCTCACAAGCAAGCAAAGGGCTTCACCCCTGCCGTGCCCCCAACCCTTTCAGGCACAAGGGGGACATGGAAGCAGAACACCCCTACATAGCTGAGCGGTTTGGGCTGTACCCCACTGCGGGCTATGCTGATTTGACACCCTGAGGAAGGGGTGCAGCACACAGCCCAGGGCTAATCAGGGCTGGAAAGTTCTGCCCACGCAGCTGCTATCGGAGCCCAGAGTCACGCTGTGCAGGAGGAGGAAGGGCTCCGAATCCCTCCAGACCATGGAGCAGGCGGTGGCTCTGGCTGGTGGCGGGCAGGCTGCTTGGCTGAAAACCCAGCCCAACCTGGTCCTCAGTGGGAAAGGAGAGGGTTGGCTCCACCCTTCAGAAACGTTCCAGCGGGGCTGGCAGGCTGGGGCGGCTGCTCCCTTTGAGCATACTGGAGCCTCTGCAGAACAGAGACCGAGGAACCAGGACAGAGGAGCCAGGAGCGGTGCGTCCTTTCCTGGTGCCCAGAGCAGCCAGAGGGACGCCCCAGGGCCTGTGTGGAGCGGCCACTGCACTAGTCCCCAGCTCCTGACCAGAGTTCAGGACCGCCAGCCACACACAGGGCCTAAGCCCAGTCCCACTGCTCAGACTAAGCGCGTGGGGGCTTTCTGACTCTTTACCCCAGCTCCCCTCTCCAGAGCACAGTCCTGTGTACCTTCCAACATGCCCTGGACACAGGGCAGGCTCCACACGCAGCAGCCGGGGACAGACTGTCTCTAGGGCAGCAGCTAGGTGTGGTGGGGTATAACCCAGCAATCCCAGAACTCTGGGAGGCTGAGACAGGAACACTGCAAGATGGAGGCCAACACAGGCAACTTAGCAAGCCCATGTCTCAAAACTAATAAAAAATTTAAATAGGCTTGAGATGTAGCTCCGTCCCTCCTGCCTGGCACCAGCGAATGCTAGGTACACACGTCTAAACTGTGCCACAATTAACGCGTACTAGAATGTCACAGCCGCCGCCTTAGGTACCCCAGGAGATCTGGTGACCTTCCGAGATGGTTCTCTCACACACCGAGCCCTGGCTGGGAGTGAAGCATGGGCTCTGCTACTATGGGACGGCACTTACCCTGGTGGGGCTCTGCCGGGGACACTTCCACCTCTGTGTACTCCACATCTGAGTTCACTGGGTCTGCTTAAAGGAACCACAGCATCGGGTGTTTAGACAGCGCCTCCCTTGGGGCGTCAGGCCACATTAGCTACGTCCATCCCAGCTGCCCTGCTCCTCCGGCAGGTGGATCTTGCTGCCTCGGTCCCGTTCTCCACAGCGGGAGGATTTCTAACAGTCAGTTGAGATCAGCCACTCGAATCCCACTCAGAGTCGCTCAGAATGGCAGAAGCTCTCCATGCCGGGATGCCTTTACTGACATCCTCGGGACACCAGAAGCAATCTTGGGAAGTGGGGAGCCAGGGCAGGAGCCCCAGCCAAGGATGCACTGATAGCATGAGGCGTACAAGGCAAAGAATCGTAAGCGCCACTGCTCAGGGCGCTTAGGTGAAATCCAGGGAACTGGCGTGTCTTCAATTCAGAATAACGTTATGCAGAATAATCAGGGGCACCTTCCAGCAGCTACACCAACTACCTACAGTCATGTTTTCCAGAAATAGGGCTTTCTACTCCTTTCATGTGTCTAACAGTTTCAGCTCCTATGACAGCAGCCCAGAGTAGAACAGAACTTCAAAATGATTTAGTCTAACCCCTCTGAGTGTTAGGCAGGAGAAAGCTACCTCTTAAAAAATCTCCAACTCAGCTCTACCCAAGAGAACAGACATCCTCTTCCCTTACTCAGGAGCCAGAGTGGAGTTCAGACCCTGCTCTTAGGTAAGACCTGTGACATGGCTTGTATCTGGATGTCCCCCAGAGCCCCCTACGCTCCCAGCTAGGGCTTCGGGGTGTGACTAGGTCACGGATTTGGCTGCTGCTTGGTTTAGCATGGTTCTGAGTATGGGTGGCATCAACCAATAGTGTGGGAGCCCGGATGGAATAAAGGAAAAGAAGGAAGGCCGTGTTTCCTCCCTGCTGCGGACTGTTCTCCGCCAGGCCCCCTGCCAGGCTGCCCTGCCGTGCAGCCAGTCAACTGTGGACCCAGACCTCTACAGAGTGTGTGCTAAAAATAAATCTTTCAGCCTCTGGGCTGTTGGGTATTTTGTCTCAGCAATGAGAAAGTAAAACAACCCAGGTCTTTTCTGCTTGGATTTAGGTAGTGTTTCCATTAAGGACACTAGATAGCTTCTTTGGGAAAAACACCATGCTATGCGTTCTATACAGGAGTTAGTTACAGGGCCATTTAAAGGCTGGGAAGTTATCCTGCTGCCCCAAAGTTTTAGTTTTCTTTTTTAATTCAAAAGTTTCTAATAAAACAAGTAATTACCTTTACTTTCATTTGGTTGCTTCATTGCATGGTTTCCAACTTCATCATTGTAACCTAGTTGAAAAATAACAATAAATTTGGATGAGTGACTCTGGAAATTCTAGTTTTCTTTTTCTTTTTCTTTTCTTTTTTTTTTTTGCGGAACCGGGGATTGAACTCAGATCCTTGCGTTTGCCAGTCAAGCGCTTATCCTACTGAGCCATCTCCCCGGCCCCTGAAATTCTAGTTTTCTGTGACTAAAAATTCAACCAGACATGATGGCGTACACCTGCACTCTTAGCACTCTGGGAGGCTGAGGCAGAAGGAACATATGTTTGAGCCCAGCCTGGATGCTTAGTGAGATCCTGTATCAAAGTAAAAAATAAAAAGAGCTGGGGATGGAGCTTGGTGTGAAGACTGGGCCCAATCTCCAGTACCACAAACAAGCAAACAATGAACAGAAAACAAAACAAAAAGCTACTTTTCCGAGATAACTACCACAGAACACGGGCATATTGGTCATGTACCTTCTGATAGAGAAAAAACTCCAAATGCGGTCTGGGGCAGAATTCTGCAAGCTACAATGATAGCCCCTTCTGGGAAGTAACGAGCAAGCTCCAGTGGAAGTGCTCCGGTGCTAGAGCAAACTCCTGACAGTCAGATCAAGAGGCTGGGCGTGGCGTGCAGACCTACGGTCCCAGCACTCAGCAGGCTGAGGCAGGATCGCCATGCGAGCTGCAGGGCAGCCTGGGCTACAGAAGCGAGCTCAAGGCCAGCCTGCACTACATAGGGAGTCCATATCGCAAAAAGACAACAGGAAAACGAGAACTGCTGGGCCTGGCCGCGCCCTCAGAGGACCTGCAGGCTGGGGCTAAGCTCCATAACAGGTAGCCCCTCACGGGACTTTTTTTTTTTTTTTTTTAATGCTTCCACTAAAAGCAAAATCTTTACCCCAGCTTCCCTCTGTAGAAGGCAAGCAGCAGCACGCTAATAGTACTCCCCTCTGACAAGATGCTTTGCCATTTAATTTGCTGTCTGGACTCTGCCTTGACAACGTACAATGAATCTTTGGGCGATACTCTGTTTTTGTAGGTATTGAGGTATTAAGATTAAAAGTCTCCAATTTTGATTTCACAGGACATTTAGAGGGTGGTGAACAAGGAATAAAATGTTCTGCCTTCCTTCCTTTCTTTCTTTCTTTCTTTTTTTTTTTTTTTTTTGGTGGAACCGGGGATTGAACTGAGCCATCCCCGGCCCCTTGCTCTACCTTTCAAGCGCTTTGTTCTGGTGCTTGCATTTGTTAGGTCACCAGTAGTGGGCGACAAGAGCTCTCTCAGCTTGGGGGGGGGGGTCCCTTCTAGTTTTAGCCCCGCCCACTGCCAGGTAAACTCTTAGCAACTGAGGGAAACTGGGACTTCACCGTAATGACTGTTGGCTTCGCTGCTAGGCTCTGCCACCTTCTCGTTGTTGGATTTCAGAAGTGGGACTGCCGGCCTTAAAAGTTTTAAAAGGAAATATTAAGCATTTTTTCACTCAAACCCCAAACCAACAAAATCACTAAAGGAAAATCACAAGACAACAGGAAGAACTTTCCAGAGGGAAAAGGCTGTGCTTGCATTTGGGAAACTGACATGGTTTTCAGCTCTAAGATTATGTGACCAAACTTGCTGCCGCCACAGTAAGTGTCAGGGTCACAGAGGCCATGAATGCAGGGCCGGGGTCCTTCACTAACCACTGTCAGCTCCTCAAGTCCTCACCCCTGCTGCAGCTTCTCTCTCCACAACACAGCAATCATTTAAGTTTAAAAGGTCAATTCTATTTTACCAGTAAGTTAAATTGTCATTTTCCCTCTACTTCCATTATAATTTCATAAAGAAAAGAGGATTTCACAAATATTTGCCAGGCCAGGCGTGGTGGCGCATGCCGGTAATATCAGCACTCAGGAGGCTGAGGCAGGAGGAACGCTGCAAGGTTGAGCCCAGCCTGGGCTACGTGAGCTCAATTTCAGTCCGGGCTGTATAGTGAGATCCTGTCTCAAAAAGGCAAATAAATATTTGCCTAGAAAGGCCAGGATCTCAGCATAAAAGCCATTTCCTCCCATGAAAGCATAGTTGGCAATCACCCACTAAGACTCACACACGCACGCACGCACCACACCCAAGGCTCCCATTTATCTCAATTTGCCAAGACTCAGAACCACCCACTGACCAGCCTCTCCCCACAGCTCAGTCAGCTGTGCCCACAAAGCAGCTACCCTCTCCTAACAAGGACACTGACCTGGACATTTCCACAGGCATCTGCTTGGCTTTAAAAAGAAGAAAAACTGAGATCAGTATAAAGTATCCATGTGCATACCACAGGAAGCCATTTCAACCACATTTGATATTTTCTGAAGAATGTGTTCCCATAAAAAAGGGACAAAAGGGCTGGGCATGTGGCTCCATGGTAGAACTCTTTCCTTGGGTGTACAAAGCCTGGGTTCAGTCTGAAGCATGGGCAAGAGAGAGAGAGAGAGAGAGAGAGAGAGAGAGAAAGAGAGAGAGAGAGACACACACACACACACACACACAGACACAGAGTCAGAAAGATGGAGGAAGGGGGAGAGAGAGAAAGAAGAAAGCTATAATCATTCATGCTTAAAAAAGATGTAGGGGATGGTGGTTCTCAATGAGTTAATTTATCCTAGCAAAAGAAACTACAGTTTAGTCTTTAATCTACCTTAGAGATAAGAGATACTAAGACAGAGTCAACTCTACACACCCTGATGTGATGCCTCACTCCTTCACCCCTACCCCACCCTTGCTAAAATGTTGTAACCATAAAAGAGAAGAGGGGCCAGGGAGATGGCTCAGTAGAATAAGTGCTTCCCTGACAAGTGCAAGGGCCTGAGTTCAATCCCTGGTTCCGGAAAAAAAAAAAAAAAAGAAAAAGAGAAGAGGAAAACAGAATTATTTACAAACAGAAAGAAGCCCACAACTTTTTTTAAAAAAAGCATTTACTACAGGGTCTCATACACAGCCCGTGCCCTGGGGGTGGGGCTGGCACAGCACGCCAGGGATCGAACCTGGTCACTGCGTCTACCTAAGCAGCTTCCTTAATGCAATGAGCTATCTGGTCAACCCTGGCCTATGACTTCTTGAGTCAGCACTGAAGGCACTCCATCATGGTTGCCATGGAAACCAAGAAAGTATTTAAGCAGAGACAAAGAACAAGGCCGGATCTGTTTCTGATCTGGAAGGATCCGGGAAGCGTGTCCAGACACTGGCTGGACATTTAAGATCTGTAACCCGGGAAGGGGCTGGCGGCTAGCCTTATTAATACAGTTCTGCTTTTTTCCCCAGTCTTTTGTCTGACATGGAAATAATCTCGACATTACAAAGAAAGTCAGAAAAGATGGAGAAAAAAGATAAAAAGAGAAATGGAAAGGAGAGAGAGAGAGAGAGAGAGAGAGAGAGAGAGAGACAGACAGACAGACAGACAGACACAGACACAGACACATACACACACACACACAGTCAGTCAGTCAGTCATAAGAGGGAAAGGAAACAAGAGGTGCACCCTTGAGCCGAGCCTAGTGGCAATCCCAGTTACGTGGGAGGCTGAAGCAGGAGATCAGGAGCTTAAAACTAACCTGGATGAATAGAATGATTTTTTCTAATGGTGTTTGTAAGTAGGATCACAAGTCCGCATCTTGTACAGCAATTAACCACTAAGAAGAATATATGCAGTGTATTATTTGTTGAAACTGTACTTTCGATTTGATTTGAAAC